GTCTGTTTCACGTTGCGACCGGCTTACCACCTGAGATAAAGTCCCAGATGCCACTGGGTGAGTGATTCTGTTATATTTTCATCCACTCAAGTGTCTTTAATTTGATTCAGGATGATTTGAAAGGTCAGAAATTAGGAAAAAGTCTGTTTTTTTTAAATGTGATTAAATTAAAATTATCGTAGTACGTAGAGAGTACCGGTACTAGAACGTACCCATTTCAAAACTTGCACGTCTTACTTTTATCTTTGTCAGAGTCAACATGTTCATCTGCGACTTTAGAGAGAGGAGACTCACAGCCTGCTTTTAGTAATCAATTCTGATACTTCCGCCTTTGATGTTGATCTACTAAGCTCACGCGTGTGTAGTGAGGACGACCCAAAACGCAATGAACTGAAATGGAGGAAATGTCTCTGAGTGTTTCTTGAGTAAACCACGAAGACGAGACAATATTCTGAAAGTAGGTCATATCATGGAGTATTAATGTCGTAGTTCGCGTGCAACATTCGTTTTGGAAAACTTCTGACAGTTGTACATACCCCATTAGATTTCATAAATACGTGTTAGCAGAAAATTTTCTGATATTAAGAATTATTTTCTTGTTGTCAGTGAACTGGGGTAAAGAAAACCCTTGAATATTAAATATTTAAGAGTTTTCACATCTGAAATGCCAAATTTTTGCTTGTTGGTGATGAGTCAGCGAAAAAAATTATCTAGTTATTTTAAAAAGACGTACCAACTGCTAAGGTTATTAGAGAACAAATTAAGAGGGAAGGAAGTGGCCATGGTCTATTTTAAAATAGTGCGTTGATTGTAGATACGCAAAAGAACTCAGTCTGCTCCCGGTGCAAATTCGAACTACGAATTTTGAAACAATCAGTAGCTCTGGTATGATCTGTTGTTAGAATCCATTACTCCGTTCACATATTAATATGTGAACAGATTAATAAGCTGTTATTAAACTCATCGTCTGTGACATCGTCCCGATGGATAGTCTCTTTTTAAGTCCATGACTTTAATCCGTTCTTGTACAAAACTGAATATAAGACGAACATCTCAGATATTTTACGACAGTAATGGACAAATCATTTTACTGAAGCACATAAAATATGGCACGGTGAAAATTTTTTGGTGCGATTCATAATTTTCTGTTTAGCAAAGTGTTAATATTAACTTCGATTGAACAGTGTTAATTATTGTTTAAGAAACGAGGCTTCGGTGGATCGAGTCTTGTCGACACATTTCTTCGTACTTCATTAAAAGCAAATCGGTCTGATGACGTAACATGTAATCCAAAAACAATGGAGTATTATATATCTATACTTGAAAAGTGCTGTATATTGGCGGATAGAACTAAAAAAAATACCTTTTTTGATATAACTAGAGCAAAGCGCTCCTTTCGGAGCTCCTCTAGAGAGAGGCGTTAAAGTCTTGACTGTTCTGCCTCCTGTAGGGAATGAAAATGAACTCAAGTTGCCAAGTAAAGAAATGACGCGAGTGGATTGCGCTAAGTAAATGTTTGTAGAACCTAAACCATTTGTGATATGTAAAATCTGAAAACAGATTTGGAAAGCTCAAGAGGTAATACGTATTTCGTACGCAATATGTCCAGATCCATCTCTTACGGTTTTCGAGAGGCGGGCGCTTAACGCCGCCCGATGCATTGAAAATTGTCACATTGGTTTATTAAAATTACAATAAATGTATAAACAATTATAATTACAACAAAATACATTACAGATTCTTAAAGGTCTTTATTTACTGATCATTTTACATGTAGGTTACATTACCCTTACTCTTACCATTCTTGAGGAATGAATATTTAAAGGTGACTCGGCTATAGCTAACGCTGTTTTGATGACGTCATTTCTTGAAGACAACGAGGAATCACAAATTTTGTTGAACAAAAATGAACACAGAAGTAACCAACGGTATTTGACATCACATAAAATGTGTTGTATTAGTTTATAATCTCATGATCTGTCACAGATTCACTTTGATTTAAGAATTTTGTCGGCAGTTTCTAGCATTAAATTATGTGATGATGGCTGCCTTTACAGTATATTTAGTTCAGTTTGAAACTTAATGACGATATAAGAATGTAAGTAAACATTTGAAGAAAAACTTTTTCTAATGAAATTAGTTTTTGTGTGATTGAAAGATGTTATCGATATTAGTGTTAAGTCTACGGACATGTGTTTCGTCCTGTAATGGCGTCTAGCTATAACCTACTTCCGGGCTTGTAGGAGCTCAGTAATATCTCAGAGAGGGATTACGTCACAATAAAGAGTAGGTTTTTATGTTTTTTTCACCTTTTTTTATTTTCTGTATCATCCCACGCAGCAGTGCTGGATTAATGGGCAGTATATTCTATTGTAATGGCCTCCAACGGTGCCCAGTGATGTCGAAAACATTCTGACACAGTAGTTACAAGAAGAAACCGGGAATCCGACAAGAATGTCTTACCATAGTAGGATGGTTATAATCCTAACCATGACGAAAGCTTTCGTCACGATATGCGAAACCATTCATACAAAAAAAAAACAACGTTGTTATGAGACACGCCATTTTGATTATTAGCCAGTGACTTCAGCGCCCTCAGGGAATATACAGCCGCTGGCCTTTGGCCGAGCAGATGCTGGTGTCCTGTTGTTATCAATTTATGCTAGAGGTATTGCGACGAACAACTCCTTTGTTTTGCGGTATACCACGTGTTCTGTTTGGAATTTGTGTGGATCTGAATATTCGGGACCCTGATAACATTAATAAGCTCTGTGTCACAAATGCGCATAAATATTTGTTTAGTTCTGTTTAGTGTTAGACGGCCATTATTTCGGAAACCAGAAGTGTAGTATCGAGAAAATGTAAAATGTAGTCGACATTAATCTTAGAATAAACTTAAGTTGTCCTTTTAATTAAGTGGTCTAGCGGTCAGAACGCTAGCCTTGTAATCCTGGGGCCCCGGATTCAATTCCCGGTGGTGCTCAGATTTATAACTTGTGTTGGGCAAGGCCGTGGTCTAGGCAACACGGAGTTTTACTCCGGGGGCTTCCCCGGTTTCTCCGTGAATTACTCCATTCACACACAGAAGAAGGCAATGGCAAACCACTTCTGAATCATCTGCCAAGAACGTATATGAACAGGTCCCAGTCCGAGAAAAGGATAGAAGGATCCTGTTCATATGGACCTGTCGTCAGACAGAACACTAAATAATAATA